ACACTCAATTCCACAAATCATGGGATTATGACCGGAGGACCTTCATCCCCATTAGTCTCACTATTCGATTTTACAGCAAATGACAATTAAAATTGAAAACATCTTTAAAATTTTAGTTTTAATTTAAATTTTAAAATTTTAAAATTGAATCCTCTATTAAAGAAAAAGGTAGAAATGTTGTATGTGTTTAATAAAATTGAGAATTTTGTTTTCATGTAAAGTAATTAAAATCAAGTAATTTACAAATAATTAGGCAACAAATAGGAAAATATAAAAAGTACAATAAATACATTTTCAGTCAAAGCAACAGATTTTTGATTTTAGATGATATTACTACCTTTTTTTTTTCTCATTGAATGTTAAATATAAAAAATTTCATTTTTCATGTTATAAATTAAAAAATTTAAAATATTTTCAGGTCCAAAGCATCTTTCAATATCTATTTTATGTGATTTTTTTATTTTGCACTCTCAAAATTTTGACCTCTGTTATAGATATTTTTTTAGCAAATAATACTTTTTGTGCCTTATAAAGTCTTCACACTCCTTTTTCGTTGTATTTATTAGTCATTCAAGAAAATAATTTTTTTTAATATTTAAAGTGTAAATAAAAATTATAAAAATGTTGAAAAAAGTGTCATAATCCTATTTTTTTTAAGAAAATACTATTTAAATTTATTTAATTAATTAAATCATTAATATTAAATTAAAAATAATTTTAATATTAATTATACCCCGTTACCAATTTCACTAACTTGGGGTAGAAAATAAAATCCAAATGGCATTGCATTTATTTGAGTCTACTTCAAGGAAGAAACGGTCGAAGGCACCGCGAAGTTTAAAATTGCGGGCTGTGTTGATTGGGGTTCTTCACTTCATGAACTCAACTTGTCAACGAACCTCATTATAAAGCAGATCTAGGATCGAAAAGCTGATAAACAGTAAATAATTTTTCGTCATGTTACAGAAGTTTATGTGAAGGAAGAAAGAGTAAGTTTTGTCAGGGATTTGCTCGACTACTCAAATCAACGCACACAGGAACTGGTAATTTCTCAAATCCTTTTATTTATTTTCGTTCGTACACTATATCAATTGATTTGTTGGTATGGTCGTTGCTTTGATTTTTAATTTCATGTAAAGGAATATTTATGATTACCTTTTGGGTCATTTATCTCTCTTTTTCTTTGAATTCTATGTCATCGTTTAGTTTCATGAAATTGAGATACTTTTGTTATGTGATGATGAAACAAGAATATGTTTTCTTTTTTCTTCATAAAAGAGATTATTAATCTTTTCTTCTCTTGCTATATCATTCCCAATTTCCACACCTATATTCTAGTGTATAGTATTGACCATGTATGGCATATGCATAGGGTGGGAATAATCCCGTCTCTAAAATATCAATGTCTTCGTAACTGAATATGGTTTTCATGTTTTGTTTGTTGTTGAACAAACTCTACATGGGTTTCATGTTTGTATGTTGTTGGGGGTGGGTTTAGTCACTAATTAGGTGGGTGTTGATTGGAGTGTTATTAATGCAGTGGGTGTACAATGGATGGACTTGGTCATTACTCATTACGTGGGTGGGTATGGAATAGTATAGACTAAGCCACTGTTGGGATGGACTTGGTAATTTTATAATAGGAAGTTTAATGGGATGGGGACGAATATTTGTGGGGTAAGAACAACCCCATCCATAAGCATGTTATACCTAACCTTATTTGTGAACTGCTAATGGGTTTCTAAGAATTTAGGTATGCCCAGTTGTTTGCTTAGGATCCTCATGTTGTTTCAAATTTGTTGATATGACTGTTTTGCATGTATCCATGTTTGACTATGTTTTTTTTGTCAATGCCTTTGCAACGGAAGAAGATAAGTAGTGTCGCATTTGTGTGAGTAGCTTGGATTGAACTACTATTCTAAGCAGGTTACACAACTAAGTAGCAGAGTTGAATTGCTTGCTGTTTGATGTTGACTTGACAGGATATGCCTAGCAGATGTAATATTTTCTGTGTGGAGAGCCAACTCTTGAGAGTATCTTTTGATACTAATTAACATTGCACAAATTTGTTTCCCATTTCCAAATGAACAACTAATATCCTGAACCAGATACAATTTGTGAAGTGTTCCGTAAAGTAATGGAGTTGAATGTGTAATATTTATAAAAGGCCATAGCTAAAATAAGGTAATTTGCTTGATTAATGTTCATCTAAACTGTATGATTTAAATTCTTCCTTCAAAGTCCTGGTGAAATCTAAAGTTTTATCTTTGTATGTTTGGACTTGATTGATGAAAGGAAAAATTGCCACCTATAGAAGTCCATATATAAACAACTTGTGTTAAGTTGGTGAATATACATCTGAGATATCAGATAAACCACACGTGTTTAATAATGTGTTTATGAAGGTATAGAAGCTATACCCACAAGATTTTTGCATTACCCCTTCAGAAGATCTGTTATTAGTCACAACACTTAATGCATGACTCAATTCTGTTTTGGCATTGGAGTTCTTCAAACTAAGAGGCGCATCATGTTGATAGGAATCGACATAGACATTTTTGTACACATCCCTCGAGGGCAACCATCATGGTAATCATAATTAGTTTGTAAACCTAACAGCACAAATAAACAGCAAATCTTTTTATTTGAGGTACCTTTTTGTAGTTCTTAGTATTGGTTCACCACTTACTTAGTCATCCTCTTTCTTACCTTTACTTGAAATGAATTCGATGTTGGAATATATATATTGCAAGTTCGGGTAAGGGCTTCTGTCACTTAATGTGCATGAGATTAGAAAAGCTATTATGATTGAGAGAGATTTAATTATTATAGTGGCTACCTAACCAATTTTTTTCCTACTTGCAAGAATGCCTCAGTTATTAATTCGAGAAATGTTGTGGTGTTAGTAAGTCTCGCATGTTGCCTTGGAATCTGTTTGCCTGAGTCTTGTTTGGTGGAGGTTTTCAATTCGGACTTTTTTCAGCCTTTGGTGCTATTCTTCTTAAATTAATACAAAAAAATGTCATTGAAAACTTGGATAACACTTTGGATAATATTTGGAGAATTAATTAATTGATTAGATTTGTAATGGTACCGATGTATTATAGTTGATAGAAAAAAATTATATTTTCTGAGTCTTGAACTGAGACCTCTATTTTTTGCTAGGCGAATGTGACACTGATTCTTTTTGTGGCAGAAATTAGGTGAAATTGTATCTAAATTCAGGGCAAACCATAATTTCTATTTCTCAAAGAAATACTGTAACATTTGGGACAGATCATTGCAAACAACGTGCCAATCAACATCCCTTCAGTAGTACTCTTGAAATTAGTTCAACAATGCAGGGATTTTTAGAAGCTCCTTGGAATGTATGTCATTTTGGCTTGTTCATTACTATGTGTGGGAGTTATAATTTCGTTTTGTGTGATGGTTGATGGCGTGATGAAATGGATGTGTTTCTCTGGCTTGTCATATCAGGTTACTTTCATCCGTGGTCTAAATTTTGTGGGTACAACTTAAATTCTTTTCTTGTATGCTCTCTACTACAGGTATTTTGAAGCTTTCAATTTGTTACCATCATCCTTGTTTTCTTTCCTTGGTTTTTGTTCTATGTTGTTGATTGGTTCTTCCGGTACCACTAAGACATACATTGATTCGTATGTGCATGTGGCTCTAGTAAGGAAGGATTTGGTTTTTGTTTTGCTTTTCACTCTGCTTTGGTGCTTTCGTGTGGGGATTTTTTTAATTGTGTTGTCTTTAATGGTTTTAGATTCTTTCTTCCATCCTTTGTCAGGCATATAATAATTTTTTTGTGCTTGTTTATTATTCATTGATTGGCTATAGCTAGTGGCGGAGCCATAATATTAGAAAATTGTGGCCATATTAAAATTAATACACTGCCCTCTTTAATTTTTTACGAATTGGCATGCAAGGCTCTTTTGAGTTGTACTGAGTAAATGTTAGATGCTTTGGTTAATATACTGACTAATATCAATGGACCTTTGGTCTAATGGTACTTTTTACCTTGTGAAGACTTTGTCTTCTTGAGGTTAAGAGTTCAAGCCCCTTTCTCCCCTCCCCCCAAAAAAACAAATACTGACCAAAGACAATATTTCTGTTCTATTCAATACATTGCCCCTGCTTTTTAAAAACAATTATATAGTTGGCTTTGCCTCTATTTTTTTTTTGAAAAGTTAGAGGCCCATAACCAAATAAAACACTCTTAGATGCAATGGCAAAGTCTTCTGGCCCACAAGCATTTTTCGCTCTTCTAAGTAATCAATTTCTCAACAAGATGGATGATGATTTCAACTAGGCTTCACAAGAAAATGAATAATGATTTTTTTACGGACTCTTTAATTGTATGTCTTTGAATTAATATTTTTGTGAAGTTTATTTTAAAACTACTTGGTACAAGCAATTTTTGGGAAGTGAAAGAATGTCATGCTCCACTATAATATATGATTCGGTTGAAATGTTCGACTCCTCGGAGAATGAAACTTGGCTTCACCCTTGGCTATAGCATTAATTGAACAATTATTGGGTACCTTGTATTTGTAACTAGTATGCATTTTTTTCTATTTTGTGATACGCACAACATAATCATATGTCAAAATTAAGAAGCACGTACACTTCTTCAACACTCTCGGATGAGTATCCGATACTCTCTTTTAAATTTTGATTAGGGTGTAGTTTCCTCTCCTCATTCTAACTTGCCACACCCCTCTCTTTCAGCCACCAATATTAAATTCATGAAGACAAAGCCATTTGATTTTTCTTCCGTCTTCTGAGCCCTCCAATTGCCATGTTTGCGTTTTCTCTGTCCTAATAAAGTGACTCAAGCATTTCGCCTAGTATCCTAGTTAGTTATCTTGTAAGACAGACATTGATTCATGTTAAACCTTTTGTGAGTTGTTTCATAGATTATTCTTTTTTATTTTTATTTCCAGATGAGAAATATAATAGCTTTTGACAAATTCTTGGGTATTTTTTTGTTGCTAGAGTTTACCAATTGAAAAAAAGGTGACTCAGTGCACGAAACGCCAACCATTTTGACGGAAAACAGATGTCCCAGTTGACAGTTTGCATTGATAGAGAGCTTGCTTCTTTATCAGCTATACCCTTTCAGCCTTATATCTTTAGAGTGGATGATCAACTGCGCAGGGAAAACAAGAAAACCTATGAGCCAGAAATGCTTGCAATTGGCCCTTATCACCACAATAAAGCTAGCCTACAAATGATGGAAGAGCATAAGTTACGGTATTTACAATTGATGCTTAAACGGAGAAATGAGTCAAGTGTAGGTAGATATGTCACAGCGCTAGAAGAATTGGAAGAAAAAGCTGAGAAATGTTATGCACATTCTACTGAGCTCAAGAAAGATGAGTTTGTGCGAATGATGCTGCTTGACGGGTGCTTCATGATCGAATTATTTCGAAAGTTTTTGAATGAAGAATTGAGAGATACCAATGACCCTATTTTCCAATTGACAAGGATCCGGTGCATTTTACATAGAGATTTATTGTTATTTGAAAATCAACTTCCATTTTTTGTCCTCCTTCGATTGTTTGACATGACCAAAGATCCAAACCAACAAGATATTCCAAGCCGAATAGACAACATATTCTACTTAGCCCTCAATTTTTTTGAGAGTTTACCAGATTTGATCTATTTACAGCCTTCTGGATTTCCGACAAATAATGTCAAGCATCTTCTTGGCCTCGTACATGATACATGGTGTTCTTCATTTGCTGTAATGGTGTCTTCCCGTGGAAAGTATGCAGACCAAGGAAGGAGATGGGAGTTCATAAAATGTACAACAGAACTGCTAGAGGCTGGGATTAAATTTGAGAAGGCGACAGAATATTCCTCCTTGCTGGATATAAAGTTCGAAAATGGGGTCTTGAAAATCCCGCCTTTGGTCATTTCTGACGAAACAGAGTTATTGCTTAGAAATCTGATTGCATATGAGCAGTACAACAGAGGAATTGAACCATTTTATTTGACTGATTATGCCACATTTATCGATTGCCTCATTAACACTCCGAAGGATGCCGAAAAACTACGCCACTATGGAATTATTGATAACTGGTTAGGTGATGATGAAGCGGTTTCTACAATGTTCAACAAACTGGGCAATTATGTTATTGTAGATTCTATAACATTTTGTTACTCGAAAGTTTTCAAGAAAATTAACGAGCACTGCGAACGTCGTAGGCACATATGGATGGCAAATTTAAGGCATAATTATTTCAACAGTCCGTGGTCTATCATTTCACTTAGTGGTGCTATTTTGTTGCTTCTGCTCACCATGGTCCAGACTATATGTTCTATTCTACAATTCTAATTGATTGCCAAGTTGATTTACTATGTTCACATACGTTGTTTTGATTATGCTGTTTTAGATCTCTGATTCCAATTTGAGTTACTTGTCCCCTTAAACATTAGTATGTTCAAATAAAGCGTGTAGATTCTGATTATCTTAGAGAGAGAGAGACAGAGAGAGAGAGGACAAGCACAACATTGCAACGTATGTACAGGGACAAAAATGTATGAAGTTAGAGTTTATCTACCTCTCACTCCTTGTTCGACCACACACATTGATCCGTATGGGGTAGGGATGGAACTGGGATTCTATCACGAGGGGGGTTGAACCATAACATGAGTAAGAATTTTATTCTACTAGATATATTTAAACTAATACAAAATTTTTCAAAATGAATTCGCAAAAATTACCATTGTAAAAATTAATTTGAATCACGAAATTCATAAATCAGTTCTTACCATCATAGAAATGAACTAGTGATAATGTCATGAGCCGCTTATTTGCTCACTACGATACGATGTCATGACTTGAAAAAAATTATTTTTACGCAATATGGTAATAAAAGTTTTTCATTAGTCGAAACATTACTTTTTATATAATTCGCCTTTATAATTTGATTTTACAAAAATTTCACACTTTTTTTAATAAAATTTTTCTTTAGTCATCATACTTCTCCAATCAGTTATAAGAACGTCACTCATCCATAGATTGCATCATCTATTTGACTATTAAATATCAATTCATTAGTCTTTTTGAATACAAGAAGTGAATTGTCTACATATAAAGTTTTTTAGTATATGAGGGAAAACATAGAGTTTGTAAAATCTATGAGTATTAGTACATAAATTTTTTAAAAAGTGAGGGAGCCTTCGCCCCCTAGGCCCCTTCTTGGGTCCATCTGCGGGTTATCAAACAAATAGCGTCACTTTCACAAAAGTAACTTACTGTTTTTTTTGTTCAATAGTTAGGGGTGTTCAGGTCAGTTTACGCGCACTTCGACTAATTCTTTCTTCGATTTGGTTAAAGACAAACTATCTACGTCGGGATTAGAGTTTACATGAGGGATAAATCTCTCATAACCTGATCCCATGGAATTATCAACATTTAAACTTGGGATATCTGAGTTGACAACTTGTCTTCGTTACTATTTGAACTATCCTTTGGGGTTCTAAAGTAACAATAGTTGGCTTGTGATAAGTAGTGTTATTGCTTTCACTTTTGTAAAAGAAAGCTTAGTGAGGGCCAGACAAGGATTACGTGAATTATAGGAAATGAATCAAAGCTACCTATAAATTAATGGCTGCTCACTACTTTCTTTGTCATCAACATTTTTTCAGTCCAAGTAAATCACTTATTTCAGAAGAAAAGCTGACGAACGAAAGAAGGAAGTTGAAAATCGGTTAGTTGTGTAATTTTATAAGCATTTGTTTTGATTATCTAAGTATTGCAAATATGTGTACATGTTTACTTCCATATACTTATTTCCATATACACATTTTGATATAGTTCACCCCTCGTTACATGGAGTAAATATTCATTGCAACGGTAATATTACGTTGTCATTGGTGACACGTGATATCACAAATTAATAAGAATGCACCATATAAAGATAAGTAAACTCCACTATTCAAACGTGTTAGTTAGTCAGCGTGGTAGTTATTAACAATTACTAAAATAATGGCATACACCACATACATATGATATGTTATTATTAGTTGGTGATACCTTGTATCGCTGATGATGTAATATAATCGTTACATGGAATATTTTCTCCGTAGTTAGAAATTTTGAAGAGCTAATGGCACTTTTTCCCTTTAAATGTTCTAAAATTTATTTTGCACCCTGAATGTTAAATAATCACATATTGACCCTTTATTTTTCAAACTTGTATGTAGCAACGTGTCCTGATTAGTAATTGAAAAATGTTTCCTCTTCCTCCATAAAGATATAAAAATATGGTTTGTTTACTACTGACAGATTTTAAAATTGCACATGTGTGGAAAACCAATGAAGTTTTACACTTGAACTGGTAGAAGAGACAGATTGAAATATTTTTAAAAAGTTTAAAGGTGAAATTGAAATAACTTAAAGTTTAAGGCAATCTAAAATTTATAATAGACATTAATAACTAAGGCAATTCAAAATAAATCACATAGTTAAAAGTACAACGTGAAGTACATATTATTTGAAGAGACAACGGAAAAAAAAGAGTCATAGTTAATAGAGAGACTAGTGTCGTGTGTTTGGACTTCTGGGCCTATCATGTCCCATCTTGTGTATTTACAAAATGTTCATTTGACAAAAGTGACATAGGCTTTCCACCTTGTTTTGTTCGAAAGATGTCTAATTATTTTCAGTGTGGTTTCTTTGAGATTTTTTTGTGCGGCATGTGAAGTAAAATATCTTTTGAAATATTCTTAGATACTTGTTTAACATTCTACATAATTTGTGAAGGGAAATCAGATGTCTCAGTTATTTATTTGCATCGATGAAAAGCTTGCTTCTTTATCATCTACGCCCTATAAACTTTATCTGTTTAGAATAAACGACGCACTGCGTAGAGAAAACAGTGAAGCATGCAAACTAGAAATAGTAGCAATTGGTCCTTATCACCGTGGCAAAGTTAAGTTACAAATGATGGAAGAACACAAACTATTGTACATGCAAGAGTAGCTTAAACGGAGAAATGAGTCGAGTGTGGATAGATATGTCATAGCCATGCAAGAATTGGAACAAGAAGCAAGAAAATGTTATGCTGAATCCATTAAAATGAGCAGTGATGAGTTTGTGGAAATGATGCTACTTGATGGATCTTTTATAATCGAGTTATTTCGCAGGTTCTTTTGTGGAGAACAGGAACAAATTGATGACCCTATTTTTCAATTAAGTGTTATTAAGCAGAATATACAGTGTGATTTTTTTGTTATTTGAGAATCAACTTCCATTCTTTGTCCTCTCCAAGTTATTTGACATGAGTAAAGATCCAAACCAAGGAGACCCACAAGAGAATATTTAAGTCTTAGCTCTCAGTTTTTTACTTCAAGTCATTCCAAATATCTCGTATTTCCAATTGCCCGAAACTCCAGAGATCAATGATAATCATCTTCTGAGCCTGTTACATGATTACTGGTGTTCTAGTTTTGCTACAATGGTGTCTTCTCGGATTGATGCAAACCAAGAAAGGAAATGGAGTTTTATAAAATGTACCACAGGGCTTTGAGAATCTGGGATTAAATTCGTGAAGGCTACAGAAAGTTTCCCGTTGTTTGATATAAAGTTCGTAAATGGAATCATGAAAATTCCTCTACTGAAAATTGTTGATAATACTGAGTGCCTCTTCAGAAATATGGTTGCATACGAGCAATATAAAGGAAAAACTAAGCCAGCTTATGTGATTGATTATGTGACTTTTATAGATCACCTCATAAACTCCCCAAAAGATGTCGAAATACTTGGTGATTGTGGAGTTATTGATAACTGGTTAGGGAATGATGAAGCAGTGTCTATCATGTTTAACAAAATAATCAATCAAGTCATTCTAAATTATGATACGTTCTGTTATTTGAAAGTTTTCGATGATGTTAACGAGCATTGTGGACGTTCTTGGCATACATGGATGGCCAATTTAAACCACAATTATTTCAACAACCCGTGGTCTAGCATTTCGGTCATTGGTGCTTTTGTGTTGCTGGTACTCACCGTGATACAAACTGTATGCTCTATCTTAAAAGTCTAGTGTTATAGCCAATTTGATTTACACGCCCACTTCTTTGTCTGTAATAGAATGTTTAAAGTTGTAATGATAATTCAATGAGCTTGTTGTTTTACAAATGTTGAGTAGAATTCATGATCAATTTGAATGCTTTTTCTATGCCATTGTATGGAACAAACTTCCTGGTTGGTTTCTATAGAGTGGTAGACTATGAAGATAAAGGGAAAAATTAAACCTTGATCCTCTCAACTATGACCCTGGTCTCAGTTTGTCCCTAAACAATTGAGTTTCTAATATTGTTTTCTCAACTACATGACTTGGTTTTTCATTATCCCAAAATCAAACGATCGTCAAGTTTTGAAAAAAAATTCTCATGTGTGGTACGTACTAGGAAGTATCCTGCCTTTGTTTCTTGGGACCTATTGTAAACAAGGATAAAAAAGAAGCAATACAATAGTTTGGGTTGACTGAGGAACCATGACCTCCAATTAACTCAAGTGTTTGAGAATAAATGATAACTGATAATATTATTCATGACTAGCCAAACGTACATACGCAACAACCTTAACGTTCACAACCATAAAATTAGGGAAAGAAGTTATACCCACTACTTCCCTTAAAACCAGGTCAAACTCAACTACTAACAAGTATCACTAAAAACTAGGATTACTTATAGCAAGGATAACAACTTAAGCAGGAGAATTATTTGAAAGGAAATAAACAAAAACAATAAAAACAGTCACGTACCAATTCCCTTCCCCTTAAAAAGCAGCCTTGTCCTCAAGGCAATATTCAGGAAACTGCTGCTTCATGGTTACCAGATCTTCCCAAGTAGCTTCAGCAGGTGATAATCCTTGCCAGTGAATAAGAACATCGTCCTTCTTCTTACGCACCCAACGATCCAGAACTACTTGCGGCTTAGGAACAAGAATTTCATCTTCACTGCATACAATTGGGAGCATGCTTTGTATAGGAAAGTTTTCACCAATCTTTTTCTTCAACATTGAGACATGAAAGATGGGATGGATACGTGAATCCTTGGGCAGGTCCAATTTATATGCCACAACCCCTATCTTCTTAGCAATCTGAAACGACGCATAATACTTAGGAGAAAGCTTGAGATTTTTCTTCATTGCTATGGATGCTTGTCGATATGGATGGAGCTTAAGATAAACCCAATCTCCCTCTTCAAATTCCCTTTCTCTATGATGACGGTCATACACTATCTTCATGCGTGACTGTGATTCCTTCAGTGTTGCTCGCAAATTTTTAATAATCTGATCGCGATCCATTAATTGTTTCTCCACAG